GCTGGAATTTGTGATAATGCTGTGACCTTGCCTCAGTGATTTGCTGGGTTTCTGTTCCCCAGAGTTCAAGCTGCCTCAAAGTGCTCACGTTACAGACCTTCTCATGGCCCACGTTTTGCGTAAATAGAATTAATGTCCTTTACCTGGTTTCCTGCCCCAGAGAAAAAGGAAAATCATATGAAATGTTTAGTTGCAGAGGGCCAATATATAAAGGTTGTGTACTGATAACTGAAGTTGATACGTGGTCCATTTTAGGTGCTCTCCCCTCCCGCTTTTATTCTAAAATTGACTGCTTGCAAAAAAAAAAAAAAAAACAACACAAAAAACCAAGCCCTGTGGCCAGCTGATATTGGTTTGCGTTTGGGTTTGTGTCATGAGAGGTGAGAGGGATGAGCAAGGGATCCCTTATTCTTGTGCTGGTGCACCCTCTCCTTGCTCATCACTTGGCTCCCCGGTTCGCAGCCATGGCACACACTTTCCTGTCCCTTGAGAGCATGTGGGGAGAGGTGGGAGCTGGGGCAAGCTCTCTCTTGGGTGATTCCCACGCACGTTTCAGAGGTGGCCTGGCCATGGTGCTGCATGGCAGGGGTGCCCCTCTCCCTGGTGGCAGCAGCACCTTGGCCTCTCCCCACCATGCTCAAAGTGTACTTCTGGTTTTGTTTTCTTTATTTAATTCTGGCCCTGAGGTTTCCTTCCAGAATAGCTCCAGGGTGTGGAAATAGGACGGTGCAGCCCCGACCACAGCCTCGGCCCTGCGGTGGACCTGGGCAGGATGGGAGCACGCTGCTCCGCTCATTCACCGCCCTGCAAAAATAATAATTAAATTTGGACACGGGAGGCCCATGTCAGCCTGTGCCAGACAGGGACGCTTTGACCATGAGGTCTCTACGGGTTCGAGCAAATACATCAAAGCCGTATGTGGTGCCCTTGCCAGACCGTGCCGGGTGCAAGCCCACCCCGGTGCAGCACAAAGCTGGTGCCAGCGGCTGGTGCAAACACCACTGGTGCTGGGTGACGGGACCAGCAGGGGGGCTTGGGTGCCGCAGCAGCTGCCTGGGGGGGTTCATCATCAACTGTGCGAGGGCAGTGATGCCCTCAGCTCACCCACCAAAGCATGTAATGAGCAACACAGCAGAGTAACTGTACATGTTAAAAAACTGGTGGGAGTGCAGGAGGGAAACCATTGCATTTGCACACGTGGGCTGCACGCTGCCTCATCCCCTCAAAGTGCTCCCGAAAAATGGGGTTTTGCTGCTCTTACCTGTTGGCACATCCCCTGGAGGCAGACGAGCTGTTCAGTGTTTTGTTTCCAGCTGTTTATCTACAAAGACGAGATTATTTTCATGAAGCTGTCAGATCCTGCAATTTTAAAAAAGGATACCAAATACTGCCTCTTGGCGGATGAGTGATCTCTCTAAGCCCTACTGCCTTGGAGAGCCAGAGGTGTTGCAAAAGCATTAAGACACCAATGCTCCAACCCTGAGATGTGATGCTTTTTAAAATGTAATTATTATTGTTATTATTTTAAATGGAAACGTTTTGGATGCGTTTGGCCAGCTTCCCTGCTGGTGTCCCTGCATAGTGCTGTGAGGTTGCTGATGTCGGTGGCCTGCCCAGGCAGCACCCGCTCCCTGGCCCAGGAGCTAAACATAGGTGCTATCCGCGCGAGGCACTTCAGCACACATTAATTATCCTGGTGCTTTTTAAGGATCTTGGGTGAAATATGTGTTTTTATAGACAGTTTTCTTTTTTTAAGCAGCCTGGAGCAGCAGCCCTTTAATTACATTAAGAATTGCCTCCCACCAGGACTCTCTGTTCCCCAGCCCTGATGAAATTTAAGCTCAAAGCTGGGCACATGCTCGCTGCTCTCCTGTGCAGGGTAGCCCGTGACGGCGTGGGGCAATGGGAAGCAGGGCTGTCTCTGTCCTGTGCCCTCCGCATCATCCCGCAACAGGGCAGCCCCTCCAGCCACCCCAGCCCCACGGGATGCTCTTTTCTCTCTCCTCACGATGCTCTCTTCATTGATGGCTGCTGCGTTGGCATTGGAAAATTGCCTGACTTTTTTTTTTACTTTTTTTTTTTCTTTTACTTTTTTTTTTTTTTTTCCCCTCTGTGTGTGGGTTTTCCTGGCCCGAGGCGCCAGCTGAAAGCCACGGCCAGCTTCAGGCCTCCCTTGTAATTACGGCTCTTCACAGTGACACAACGGCTTTGAAGCCCATGGGGCAGGCGCAGCTGTGTCCTGCAGCCCCCAGGGTTTGCACGGTGGGCAGGCGGCCCAGCTTGCTGCCAGGGCTGCCGGACCCCCAGGGGGCTGCAAGGGACCTCTCCCTCCCCAAAAGCATGTGATGTACGTGGCATTTAGTCAGCAGTTAGTAACTTCCCACGAGGTACCTGTTGAGGTAGTGATGAGCAAGACGACAAAATAATGACAACAACAACAAAAAGCTTTGTCTTACCGTTCTAACCTGCGAATTTGGTTAACTGGAAATCCTTTGCTTCCCAATCACATTCAGACTCAAACTGGGCTCCCCTGGATGTGGGTGAGGCTTTCGGCAAACATATTCCTTGGTTTTCAGCAGAAACATGAGTGTTCAGGTCTTTCACTGCAAAGCAGATTTTTTCTGCCCTAAATAACCATAGTTTTATCACTGGCTAACCTGCGCGTCATCGACCTGCTTGAAGGTGTGTATTTTCCAGCTCCACTGTTCCCTCTCTGATGGTTATAGGGTTGAAGGCATCATGTGGGATTTGCAATTCTCCTTGCCACTGTGGAAGCAAACCTGCATTTGGCGAGGGGTCGTTCCCCTGAGCTGCTCCAGCGCGGGCACCTGCAGGAGTGGCAAGGGGACTGAGCAAGAAAAATCTGGGAAAGGAGAAGCAGAGGTGCACTGGAGAGCTGGGAGGCTGAAATCCCATTAGGAAATGATAAATATAGGGACAGGAGAAAGGATGTCCCTGCAGAGGTGGGTGCTGGAGGGTGGTAGCAGCAGCATCCACGTGCCTCCATCCCCTGCCATCAGGTGTGGGTCAGGATAGGTGGGTACCGACCACTGGCCATACCCTGCCACCAAGGTCCCCACTGAGCTTTGGATGTCCGTGAGGGTGGGGTTCTTTTTCATTGCCCCTAGGAGTTATTCTGCTTTGCTGGGGACATGTACAGAGCTGCCAGATTTCAGCTGGGGAATAGCAGAATACAGAGCAGGGGGCTGGGCTGGCACCTGCGTGGGTCCATGTGGTTTGGGGGGCACGAGAAATGAAGCCGACATGTATTTTGTGGCATCACTGTGGCAGAAATGGCTCTCAAAGGGGGACTGGCAACACCTGTATCCGAGTCCCCTTTTCTTTCCTTGCCCTTCCCAAGGCCCGTTTTACCTCTGCAGGCAGCCTGGAGAGGAACTTGTTTGGATTTAGCCTTTTTTTGGCTAATGGCTGTGCCTGAGTGACTGTGAAGCCAGGCCTTTGAGGTTAGTCTTTTTTGTCCTCTTGAAAAAACAGTGACAGAATTTCCCAAAAAGGGAGGTAGGCACCCCCCGAGAACAGATTTCCCAATATTTATTTTAAATTAAACCCAGAGTGTTATTATACCCTCCGGCCTCTCGGCCGTTCCTCTGAGGCCAGACCCTCAATTAAGTGGTGCGGTGCAAACCTCCCCGGGTTTGGCAGCAGCGCGGGGTGCTATGTTTGTGCACCAAATCTGCCGGCGTTGAAGTTTGGGGGTTTTCTGGCACACGCTGGCGGGCTGGCGTCACTCCGGGAAGGGCGGCGACTAGGTTGGGGGGGCCAAAATAGACCTTATATCCCAGCAGGGCAGCAGCAGGAGGAAATCTGTGCCGGTCGACTCTGCGAGTAGCCATCGGTGCTGTCGTGGGGTAAGCTTGCTGCTGCTTTTCCCAACCAGGGAGTGCATCGCCGTCTGCTTTTTGCAGGGGGGTGGGAGGGGTCAGCTTGCTGGTGGGGACGGATGCTTCTTTTAGACCTTTCCTGGGTCTGCGGCTTCATGAAGGTCTTGGGTGGAGGGGATGAGCATCCAGAGCCTTGCTGCATGGCCAGGGAAGCTAGCATGTGGTCGGTTGTTTTCTAGCCTGAGTTAAACAAAGATGGGAAAACTTCAGGTGCAGATAAATACAATAACAACTCCCCCCAAACCTCAGCACAGCTGATGGTGGGTTTAGCCAGAGAAAGGGTAGGAAAAAGGAAGGTAAGGAAGGTTAGTGGGCCTGACTGAGCCCAGCAGGAGCATCTCTCCCTGGAGGGAGGCTGGGGCACTGCAGGAAGGATCCGGTGTGCTCCTTGCTGGGGACTGGATGGAGGAGGGCAGGCTGGGTTTTGATGGTTAGTGGGTGCAGGTTGGACCTGCCCAGAGCCAAGCCCTCCCGGCCCCCCCAGCCCCGATATGCCTACAGGGGTGCTCCTGGCATTGGTGCCTTGCCACTACTGTTTTTGTCAATGGCAAACTGTAGAAGCCGATTATATTCATTTGTTTGTTTGCTTATTTATTTGTCCTTGATGAGGTTAAACTCTCTGTGGTGTAATTCCTGGGGGAGTTGCTCCCTAGGCAGAGCCCAAGCAGGGCTGTGGGAGGGTGGCCGCAGCAGGCAGCGCTCTCGCCGGCTACTCCTGCCACATCTCTGGTGGTGGGTTGGTGTTCCCCACTCACTTGCAGGCAATGGGGAAACAGGAGCAAGTACTCCTACTCAGGGAAAGCAATGGTGAAACCCACCAGGTGAAACTTACTTTTCTGGTACTTTGCGGCTTCTTGCAAAACCAAAACATATTCATGGAAATTGAGGCAGATCTGTTCAAATGAAAAAAAAAAAAAAAAAAAAAGGACTTGGGTCTCTGGAGGGGTTGGGTGACCCCATCAAGAGGTGGCTGGAGGTCAGCCTTCTCCCTTGCTCACCCATGTGGACACAAACACCCGTATGGTTTTGGGTAGCGACGGCGCTTTCTAGCTGAAAAGCAAACCCTTGCTGTGTTCTGCTCTCCTAGAGAAAGCAGCCATGAGGACTGCCTTGGTCTTCGCCTGCCTGGTGGGGATGGCGTGCGCCTTCTCGGTGAGTGCTGGGCAGTGGGGGGGCCCCTCGGCCTCGCCGGGGCTGGTGTGGGGTATGTGCCAACCCAGCCTTTCCCCCAGGTCAAGAGCTGGCTGCGGAGAGCCAAGTCAGACGACTCGGAAGAAAATGCGGTAGAGTCTCCCCCACCCTGCGTGCCCAGCCCCACGTGGTGCTGGCCTTGAGGACAAGGATGTTTTGGTCAGTCCTGTACCCAAGCCCCTAGACTTATGGGATTTACCCCCCTTCTTCTCCTGGTAGGTGTTCAAGAACAGGCACCGGTATTACCTGTACAGATACGCCTATGTGCATCCCCCGCAGCGACGGTACCAGGTGGGTGTTTTGGAGGGGTTGCTGATGCTTCGCCACCCACCAAATGCAGAGGTAGTGGCCCAAAGGAGACGGGTGCAAGGTCTGCGCCCTGTCTGTCACTGGCCTGCAGGGCTGGGCTGAGACAGTCGCACTCGTAACACCAATGGAGACCTGCCAGCACCGCTACGACTTGCTTTTCCCTCTCCTTAGGGCAGTGACTCATCGGAGGAAGAGGGGGATGGCTCAGAGGAGGAGGAAGGAGGGGTGAGTGTGGCAAACCAGCAGTCTGCAAAACAAATACGGGAATTTGGGAACCTTCTTTGGTTTTGTAGTCTCCGCTCATCAGCATTTGTGGCCACTGACCGCCCACGGCCTTGCACTCTGGATGCGACTGGATTTTCTACTCTGGGCTTTATTTTATTATTTTTTGTATTATTTTTTCCTTTTCTTCTTCTTCTTCTTTTTCTTTTTTTTTTTCCAAGAAGATGGGTGGGGAATGCACCAAACAACCCTGAGACAAACTTTCCAGGTTTCCATTTTCAGTGGCTCAGAAAGGAGCAGGGAGACTCACCCGCAAGGCAAAAGGCGCTGTTAGGGACTCCTCTTTCCTTCCCCTTTCAGGGTGTGTTGCCCCCAGAGTGCTGATAAAATTGCTATGGAAAATACAGTTATGCTCCACACGCACCTGTGTGGAGGGATGCAAACTGACGCTATATTGGTAACGCTGTTCCTGTCTGCTGGGTCAATATGAGCTTGGGCACCGCTACATTTGCGAGAGTCATCCAGGTCCAAAATTAAATGCCAGTGATTACAAAGGTCTGTTGTGCTTCACTGGGCTGTAGATGCCCAAAAATAATCCAGTGGTCTCAGGCACACGGGTGCTTTGAGAAAGGCATCCGGCATGCTTGAAAACCTGTGTGAGGTCTAATCACATCTTTTTCTTTCTTTATTGTTTTTTTAATTCAATGATCTGAATGCTAATTTCAGGGGTCTTTTTAAAAGGATTGTGAGCCTGGACATCTGGTCTTAAAACCTCCTTTGGAGGCCCGTCTGGGGCTGGGGTGCAGCACGGGGTGGCCCCCAATACCCAGGCACTTCTGCCAGCGTTGGCGCCTGCCTGCAATTTACCCCTTTCTGCCTGTTCCTCTCGGCTACCGCTACAATCACTAGGGATAACTTTGAGTAGTGGCATGAGACAGCCAAAGGGGCTCATTCCCCAGGAAAAAATAGGAATGCAGCTGCTGTTTGGGGCTGCCCCTTTCATTTCAGGAGCACCAGAGCAGTGGCCATTCCTGGGCAGGGATGCTGTATGCCTTCACTGGCAGGGGGTGGTCAGCAAAGTAAATCATGATGATAGGTCCCAAAGTCAGTTACAGATATGTAAAGAGCACCATTATATCATTGCTCCCATCGGCACAGCCAGCTGCGCTATGCAACTTGGTGGCTCTTCCAGTGGAGAGGAAAATAGCTTGGGTTTTATCTGGCATCAGATGCACCTATATTTTAAGTGTCTGAGTTGACCCAAAACACCAGGTTGAGTGTCTTTAGTCTTGGCACACGAGCAGTGAGGATTGCCCAGGGCAGGGATGGCAGTGACCCCGCGTCTCCCCACCACAAGTGGGTTCGTCTGCTGGTGGCAAAGTTCTCCTCCTCCCAGGCTGGGAACAGGGAGAGCTGCCCCACCAGTTCCCCAGTGGTTGCTCCAGGCTCTGCTTGCTTTTGGGCTATTCATTCCCTTTTTTAGTGCATTGGGACAGCCATGCACCCCACTGAGTCCTGCTCCGCTGTGTGGTCTCTGTGGCCAGGTGGTGCTGATGGTTTATTGCTGGTGGGGTTCGGGTTATGCCTGGCTCTGAGCCATCATGCTCTTGCCAGCTATCTGCACGTGGTATGTAGCGTGTCCGCATGTAGTGTGCATGTGGCCTTCTTTGTTTATTGGAAACTGGGAGAGGTAACTTCAAAAGCAAACTTTTAGATGCTTTGTAAAGCAAAATGTGGAGCCAGAATGGGAACACATGGCTCCAGCCACCACCACTTAATTGCATGGCTTGCGCTGCTCTGCTGCAGCTTCTCAATTTCAGCCTGGGGCGAGACCCGTGGGAAAGCAGGAAACTCGGAGCAGAGCCCAAACACCATGCAGGGATGCTGCATGCCCCACTCACTGCGCGAGGGCTGTGCTCTGCTCCCACTGCTGACCACCTGCCCCATCCTCTCCCTGTCCCTGCAGGAGCCATCCTATGCCGGCACCGAGGCAGCTAGCCACCCTGCCAGAGCAGCCCCTGGGGACAGCCAGGGCGGGCTGGGAGAAGATGTCGCATCCCTCCAGCAGGTGTGGTTTGGGGGGCTGGAGGGGAGCACCCAAGGAGGGAGGGGGATGTTCACTGCATGCTTGCTTGCACCCATGGGATGCCCTGCACCCCAGTTCTGCTTGGGAGTCTGCTGTGTAAGATGCCCAAGGCTGGGTCAAGCTCTGGGCATTAACCTGATGGGAGGGTTGGAAGGGGCACTCCAAAAAGGCAGCCTTGCTATCAAGGTGCACGGGGGACGCTCAGCTGTGCCCACGCCTGCCTCATGCCATGCGGCACTGAAAAGCTGTGACATCCCAACACCCAACTAATGCTTTGTTGTTCTTTCCCCCCCACCCCGCCAGGGCAAGGACTGCCAAGGGCCCCTGAAGGAGGGCAGAAACAGCGCTGCTGGCAAGGGTGGCGACTCCGAAAATGAAGACAGTGATGAGAATGAGGAGGAGGAAGAGGAGGAGGAGGAGGAAGAAGAGGTAGCCGAGAATGAGAATGGCGTCAACGGCACAAGCACCAACACCACCGAGGGGGCAGATGGGCCTCGAGAATGAGGAGGAGGAGTGGCTGAGGAGGGCACTGGTGTGGCCGAGGAGGAGGAAGAGGAGGAAGAAGAAGAAGAAGAAGAGGAAGAGGAGGAGGAAGAGGAGGAGGAAACTGAAGCCACCACCATTGCCAGCACCACCGGCGAAGAGGGGCTGTCCCAGGCAACCACCATGGGAGATGTGGGACCCACGGACGCCACCACAGCCGGAGAGCAGTGGGAATATGAGGTGACGGCCGGGAGCCATGGCCGGGGGGATGAGGGCACCACTGATGGCAGCTACGTGGAGCAGGATGAGTATGCCCGCGGGGACAGCTACCGGGCCTATGAGGATGAGTACGGCTACTACAAGGGGCATGGCTATGATGTGTATGGCCAGGATTACTACTACAGCCAGTGAGTGGGCAGGGGCGCCACCCTGGTGCTGCCCCCCACCTGCCCCATCCCACTCAGGAACATGCATCCGAAGGCTCACTGCAGCCACCGTATGCCTTAAGGGACGCCAGGCGGCTTGCTGTGTGCGCTGGCTCCATGTCAGGCTTTCTTTTTTTGTATCTCGCAAAGCGAAATGAAATAAAGCAACTGAACTGAGTTTTTTGGTGATGAAGAGTTTGCCACCAAATTTCCTGGGGTCAGCACGGCGGCACGGTGCTTGGTGGGCTGAGGGGCTACAGGTGCTCATGCTGCCCAGGGTTAAATCTCTTTATTCCAGCTCAGATGCTCACAACAGGACGGAGGAACAGAAAAGCTAAGTAGGAAAGCCTCTGTAGAGTCACGTCTGAAAAATGGAAGGGCATTTTTAGGGTCACTGCTGTGGGATTACTGCCACATCTTATGTAGAGTTGACGTGGATTTGCAATATGTGGGCAATAACTTTACCGCATCTTCCACTCCTTGGTAGCATGCCCACCATGGCCTGACCACACACCAGGCATTCTTAATAAAGGTAAAGACACTAATTTCTCTTTCTGTGCATGACTAGCTGTGGATGCACACCCCTGGAATGAGAGCTTTGCTTCTGCATTCCTGTGCCAGGCATGTGGGTCCCACCAAGGCGGGCACCTCAGGCGTGTTTCAGACATTGGTGCTGCAGCTCAAAATGGTCTGCATCTTTCCCCACCACACAGCCTTGTCCCCAAGGCAAGATAGGGCTGTCACAGTAGCAGTGGTGCATCTACTTGACTCCTGCATCGGGGATGAGGGATGAGAATCCCTGCCCAGAGTCACCTCCCCACAGAAGCGTGGCCTCAGCCAACTGGACATCAGCACCAGGGATTAGGAAGGATAAAATCCTGCTGGGGTCCAGGCAGGTGCCCCCATTTAGGAAAAGCAATGGCCCTCGCACACAGCTTATGGCAGCTACTGCGCTGCCCTTGCATTCACAGAAAGGAAACCTGTGATGGAGGAGGAGCTCCTCATATAGGTCCAACTGCAAAACGAGTTTCTGTTCTCACAGCAGCAAGCTGCTGGCTGCTGTACAAAACTACCTCTGTGTGCCAAAGCAGGGCTGCAGCTGCCGGGGTGACATGGGGTGCTGCCTGCAGGGTGGGCACCCCCAGGGCCAAATCCCTATGGTGGCACTGGGGAGCCCTGCACATACTCACGGCCGGCAGCGGGGGGGGACATGAGAGCCCCATCATACACATCCCCAGGGGGTGCCCAAAGACGTCAGGGAACCAGCACAGACAAAGGGCCCTGGCGTTGCCGGGGGCCAGGTCCTGCTCCCATGGGGTGCCCAGCCTGGTCCTGTGTGCGTCAGGTCCCCCGGGAATGTGGCCAAAGCTCTGCCTCCCTGAGCCAAGGCGCACTGGCTGGCTGCTCCAGTACTCGTGAGGCAGCATCCGACCGGGGCTGCCCGGCCAGGGGGAAAGGGCAAGTTTTCTTCTGGCTCCGAGATTTGCTCCTGCCTGAGGATGGATGATGATGGTTTAAACATTTCTGGTGTTAATGCAGTGGTGATCTCCACTCCTAGGGTTTGGATCAGAGGAGGATGGTGGGTGGGATGGGAGCTGTTGTCACCATCAGTGGAGTGAGTGACTGAGCCAGGCTGGCCACAGGGGGACCAGCAATACCACCAAAACTAGATGGGGGCAGGAGGAGAGTACATATGTTGTGTGTATCCTCGTAGCACTTTCCCACGGCAAAGGTGGGCTCAGAGGAACCTGTGCAAGCAGTGCATGAAAAAAACTCCTTTTTTTGGTTTGTTTGTTTGTTTTTGTTTTTGTTTTTTTTACCCAGTCTTCTATTTTGCACTTGCACTGGCCTTAGCTCAGGGCGCTTGAGGCTGAAACCTCAAAGTCAAGTGTCAGTGGCTACGGTGTGGTGGCATCTCTCAGCTTGGCCAGGGCTGCCTCATGGTGCTGGTCGTGGTCGTGAGCAGGCTGGGATCAGCGTAGCACCCTTCCCTTTCTGCAGCCCTGCTGGCTTTCCCATGTCAGTCACGGTGAACACGCTATGACCCACTACACCTCCCCTTATCAATAACCTGGCTGGATGTGTGCCACACTAAGATCTGCACTAATCATCGAGCAATTTCGCCTTCAGAACAGATATTTATAAACCATGCTTTCTGTTTATGCAGCCAGGTGGAACATTTGATAGCTGTCTTCCACCACAAACACATTTTTAGCTGGAAATTACTCCCCCTGGTTATCTGCGGGTGCTGCCAGTCCTGACAAATGTCCCTAGGCAGGAGCTGATTGGCTCCACGCGGCCGGGGCCAACTTTAAATTTCAGCAAAGTGGGCACAGCCTCCACGGTCTGCCACTGGGACGTGCTTCTGACAGCAAAAGGTAATCTTACCTAGTTTGCCTTCCCTGTCTCCTCAGCTCTTTGTCTCTGTCTTCCCTGAGTAGGGCATCTCCTGCTTTCACTCTGGGCAAGTGGTGGTGGGGATGGGGAGACGGCCCAAGCCTCGGCCGTGCGCATCTCTGCATCACGCTCTCTTGAGCTTATGTTGCTTTGTGCTGCTGATCCTTGTGCATGAGTTTCCTTCTGATGTTTTCTGTATCAAGGCTTGCATGGCTGAAAACAGTCACTGGGTTGGACCAACAAGCCCAAGCCAGGTTGGATGGGTGAAATGAGAATTATTAGCCAACAGAGCTTTTGTCTCCTGCTGTTTATCAGTGCTGTTGAAAACAGCATGCAAGTTTCTTAATTTGGCCTTACGACTATATGGATCAGCCTGCAGTTCTGGTGGCCATTATATCCACCCAAGCTGCTTTGACAGAGTGAGTTAAGAAGCGTTAATGCCTGGTGTCACAGCGCCCATGTGGTGCTGGCCATGCACGTGTCCTTGCCTCGCCACCGTATGCACATGACAAAAGCATTGCCTTTGCTGTGAGGGGTGCAGAGAGGCAGAGCGATGCCATGAGCCACCGCAAATCTTGGGGAATGCCAGGGGTCGCTGGATAGTCCCACTGCCATGGGGGTTTTTGAGTTGCTGCTGACCAGGACTGTTGGGGACCACAAGCCCTGGGAAGACAAACTCCGGTGATGCTTTGCTTTGTGCCCCCAGGAGCTGCCCAAGATGCAAACAGCCCTTCTGTGCCTGTGCCTGTGCCTGCTCAGCACGGCCCTCTCGACACCCGTGAGTATGGCTCTCCCTGGCTTCCCAGCGTGCTGCCAAAAGGGTGGGGTGTACCACCCAGTGTGCCCCAGCACGCTTTCAGCAGCAGGAAAGCATGCGCTGTACTTGCATGTAGTTGCGGGGGAAGAAGGGGGGTGTGTTGAGGTACTGGCGCAGAGATGAACCCAGCAAGAAAAATATATATTAGCACTGAGGTGCCTGAGCATGTCCCTTTAATTTAGCAGTTAGGGCATTGTACAAGGGCCGGTCTAGGTTGTTATAACTCATCCTCTGGATTTTTCTGTGGATTTGGGATCTGCCCAGAGCTTTTGGCCTGAGAACAGCCTGAAGGGATGTGTGGGAGGATGGGACGGGAGGTGTGGGAAGGATGCTAACCTTACCCATGTGGGTAACAGGGGTCGGAGGGGTGCCTGCAATTATATTCCAGCTCTCCTAATGTGAAATTCAGACAGGTGCAACTGAAACAAAGGGCAAACTAAGATAAATATAATAGCAGCCATTTTTGTCCTGCATAACTGTTGCCCAACAGCTAGAGTGAAAATCTGCTCCTAGCAAAGGCTTGCTTTTCCGGCAGGGTAAGGAGGAGGGAAGCCACATCTCCCCTGAGGGCTGGGCCGCTGCTGGCCGTGTGTCCTTTAGCCCCCAGGGCAAGCTTGCACAACCAGTCTGTCATAGGGCAGCATGTGGGAAGGTAATAAATCAGTGCAGATTTGCTTTTCAGATAGGGGCACAGAAGAGAGCCACTTCATACTCTACTGCATAACCAGGGCTGTAATCCAGCCTTTGACGTTCACAAACCATGGAATAACCTGGGAATATTTAATACTCTGGGGTGCATTTCTGCCCCTTTCAGCTAGCTTGGGGCACTTCAGTGGTTGATTTTGCTGAGACAGGAGGGTGCTCCCCTCCATGGGACCGTCTCCCCCTCTGACACATAAGGAATGCCCCTAAATGGCTTGGTGGGTCTCACAGGATGCTCCCACCTCCAGGTCCCCCATCCCTGAGGGAGGCACTGGCCAATACATCCCAAAAGATGCCAGGATAATCAGGGGAAGCCAGAAGCTTGCAAGCATGTACAGAAACCTGGCTGTGAGGGCACAAGCACTGCTGCTCAGTTGCCCAGTAAACACTGGGAATCACTACCAGTTGACCAGCTCCAGGCTCCCATCACAGTCAGACCCCAGCCATAAGTTGGAGCATTGTGATGTGAGCAGTGGTGCCATGCATTAAAATTGCACTGCAATAAAAATACACTGCAGCAGAATCCACTAAAAGGGCATTTGAAGACCAACAATATCCTCTTAAAAGTAGCATGTAATGCAAGAGTGCTGTAGCAGAATCTGCAATAATTTTCAGACCCTGGAAATGTTTTTTTTGACCTTGTCTACTACGGCTGGCTTTAAGCCAGCACCCCAGGTAGCGCGCAGGAATTTATTGGCTTGTCAACACAGTTCCCACCCTTTCCTGGACACTATGGCATGTCCATCACTCTGGGCAGAGTGGGCCGCCGGCACCGGGGCATTGGGAGGCACCTGG